CTGAGGACCCTTAGCTACTTTCTGTAGAACTTTCTTCTAGATATTTCCTGCAAATCAGCAACAAAATAGCATTTTCGCTCCGAAAAGTTCTTTCGTCAATAGTTCTTTGGTTTGACGTTGTTTCAGGTGTTATCAAGGATATAAATGTTACAGATACTTTGAATGCTACCAGAGTGTAGCTCACCTTGCAAGATGACTGACTCCCATGCAGAAGACCTGGGTTCAGTTCTGGATGTGATCATAGTTTATTTTATTTAGAGTTTATTTTGTACATTAATGGTATATTTTTTTACTGTAAGATGCCCAAATTTTTATTTGAGACTCGCCGGACGCCATTGAATTCACAGATAAAAAAGATGTGGGTTCAACTTTCATTTTGGAACAATTTTTCCAGCAAGGGAAGGGAATGATCTGAGCATGCAGGAGGACTGACCCATCTTAAACCTTTGTCGGCTGTGCTGAAGAGAAAGGTACAGAACCAAATTATTTAATTAATTAGCTGCACGTTCTCCTGTCCTCTGTCCTCTGGGCCACACACACACACACACACACACACACACACACACACACACACACACACACACACACACACACACACACACACACACACACACACACACGGGACTGTCTCAGCTGTTATTCTCGTTAAGAAGTGTGCACGTACAGCATGCGTGCCTCGTGCACGAGCCTACTATTGAAGCTGCCATTACGCTTTTAGCCTGAGGGGGTAATTGCGAGCATAAAAATTCAAAAGTCCATGAAGTCCCTTTTAGTACATGCAAAACACCAGAAATAATTATTTTATAAAGAGAAAGCAATATAAGTTACATTTAAATAAACAAGGACTTCATAGCATCCAGTTGTTCAGCTTTTGCCTAATTTTCCCCAAAAGACAGTTTTATATATTTCTAACAACCTGCTGACCCAAAGTCTCATGCCCTCCTCTGGAATAAAAGCCTGGGAGAATGATTTGCCCTTTCGGGGTTTTGAGAGGCCTTCTAATCATTATGCCAAATGTTTACCCAATCATCACAATATAAATATGAAATTTGTTATAGATTCTATTTAACAGTAATTACTATACAAAAAGTGGGTGCATCAGATCTGTTTGGCTCATGTTGTTCTCCTGGGACTCTGGACTCATTTATGCAAATGTCCTGGGATTCAGGAGCTCTGGGTTAAAGTACTTTGTTGTATTACTGATTTTTACTAGTTTATGCATCTCTGTCAGCAACTTTGCGCTCACATATTGACGGAGATGTTTTATTTTTATACTTCTGCATTAGTGTGTCAGTGTTGTGAAGCAATCCTCCACCAGGACAGCCGAGGGTGCAGCACTTTTCTGGGGTATCCTACCATCAATGCAGTCACGTCTCTGGTGTGTTTATGTATTTCAGAGACTTTTTAACGCAAATACATTTGTCCTCCATCTCTTCATCCACTCATGAACAAAAGGTTTGCTGCGTAGCTATTTTCGCGAGGCATTCTTCAATCTGCTCTGTGTCTGTCGTTAGATATCTTCAGCTCTCGTTTTATTTTTTAGGCAGAATGATGGTGCTGTTGACGAAGCTAAAGGAATCGGCATCCTGACTACCGTTGCAAGGATTACCCGGTTTGACTATTAACCACGGTGTGAAACACTGCGGTTAACCCACCACAAAGACGCCTTCAACACCAAAATTCAGAGCGATGTCTGCAGAGCTGGCAGAAAAAAAGTTGCAACACTCCCAATTTATCATCTCTGACATCATCATGCAGACAAATTAGCGCCAACTGAGTCAGATTGTGTTAGGGACTGAACAGATGTAACAGAACAATCCAGTGAACGACAGTTCATATTGTGTTGTTCTACATTTCCTCTGTATCTGTCTACAACAAGCTGTATGGCAATCCATTTTAGCATTTAATCAACAACACCTCTCTGTAATTCCTGTTCTACATAGCAATAATATAATTTATCCTTGCCCAAATAGTATTCTTACTGATGAAATTAGAAAAGACATGAACAAGTACAAATTACATTCAAGTAATAAGTAATATTCATAATAACAACTGCACTAGTAGGAATTTGGCATCTTAAGGTGTCTCAATCCTTCAGTGCTAACCCCGACCAGTTAAACATTTTTGTCTTTTTTTCAGAAACTCCAAAAAAGCCATTAGGCAAATATAATTAAAGGCATCATTCACTGGAAAAAAATCTGTTTTATGATTGTTTCTGATAATCAGTCACTCTGACTTTTTCATGCAGGCTGAACATGAAAATAGTCTCCTACACCTATCTCCTGCATTGGCCTCTGATAGAAAATAGACGATGAAACTCTAGGATTAGAAAAGCCTGACAGATCTACGTTACACTGTCACTGACATTCATGGCCTCACCCATCTTGACTCACAACGGGGAAGGCTGTTGTTGGACTAGTGTCCAGGAAACAACAGAGGACACCACTGCTAGAAGAAGCTAACTGTTAGCATTAGCAACTCCACCAGACAGCAGATCTCCTCCAGGCTTTTGTTATTTGTGGAGGTAAAACATCCATTCATCTATCCATCTTCTGAACCCGCTTTGTCCACGTAGGGTTGTGTGTGTGTGTGGGGGGGGTGGGGGGTGGGGAGTGGGGGGTGGGTGGTGGGGGGGGGGGGGCTGGTGCCTATCTCCAGCAGTCAACGGGCAATCAGGCAGGGTACACCCTGGACAGAGAGCCAGTCCATCGCAGGGCAACACAGGGACACGCAGGACAAACAATCATACACACACACACACTCACACCTAAGGACAATTTGGACAGACCAATCAACCTAACAGTCATGTTTTTGGGGAGGAAGCCGGAGTACCCGGAGAGAACCCACGCATGCACAGGGAGAACATGCAAACTCCATGCAGAAAGATTCCAGGCCGGAAAGCGAACCCAGGACCTTCTCGCTGCAAGACAACAGCTCTAACCACTGCTCCACTGCGCAGCGAGGTAAAACATCAACATTGCAAATAGAGTGAATTATTCTAAGCAAAATCTCTGAAAAGGAACAATAGATATTGCAGGGGTTCAAAACCTCTATAGAATGTAATCATGCTGTTGATCAATATTTTGTAGAATGTGTGTGTGACTTATGTGTGTTAATACAGATGTGAAATCAATTCATGTACAATAATCATGGTAATCGTGAAACCATGATTATTTCTCAGACTATAATCATACCAAAATGTATAACCGTTGCAACCCTAATCCTGTCCCACAGCCTTGTGGTCTCTGTTGCGTTTGATGGATATTTAGAAAAGTGGGCTCTACTCCATCCGTCCTTGCGAGACTGTTGAAGAGCCCTTGTGACAATAGATAATTGGTGTTGCATGTCTCCATACCAACGCTGACAAAGAAGTACAAACTAGCCTTTAGTGGTGTCCTTCTCCCGTTGGCTTACTAAATGACTCGCAGCTCTCCCATACACACAAAACCCGTAGAATCTGGCTTGCAGGGTTGATTGCAATGAAGAAAATCATAGCTCAAAGATGAAAACTGTGTAATAATTTGTCGTTTGTGTCTTGGCTATATGGAACTATCATTAGATACTTCAGTTATGTTGCACTGTGGATGGACTTGATAGGTAACCTTAACAGACTGCTCACCGACTGGGATGGACTGATTAGTGGACATGGGGAAAGACATTGGAGGGGTTGGTTTTGAATTTGTAATGTTATAAACAGTGTTGTCCTCAAGGCTTCCTAATAAAACAATTATTGAGAAAAATAAATCTTTTTCCTTCTATTTTAATGCTTATTTCACTTAAACTTAACGGTGGAAAGTTTTATTATTATTCATCTTGCATTCGCTCGACTTTTTCTGTAGAAGAAAAATAAGCCAAGGCCATGTTTTACCTTGAGCATTTCAGTTTGCCATTTCATTATGCTTTAAGCACACTTCCCTTCACAAGTATGTGTTCAAGGTCTCGTTTGGAGGTTGAATTGGAGTGATTTGCAACAGGGTATAAGCTTCCTGAAAAGTTCCAGTTCCACAGGTAAGACTTTGCACGTCAGAGTTTATGAACTCGACATAAAAACACACCCGGCGTCTGCCATTAAACAATAATAAGTGTGAGCCATAAATATTAAGGTTTATAAATAGTTTTTGTATTTAATATTATAATTTTGTTCTCAAATTGAAGCATGAAAAAAATAATAATAAAGGGATGGAATTTAGGACTAGCTTTTATGAAACTAGTGGTGATTATAACTATTACCAAGATGAATCTTTAGCTCAAACCCCAATGACCTAGCCTAGTGAACTAGACCAAATTCTTGCTTTGCAAAGTTTGGTCTAGGCATGCTCCATTGGAACCTCAGCAGCTCCTACCAGGACTTTGGATAGCCAATCACAGCTCTCTAGAGTGGTTTCAAACACATAAAGAGCTGTGATTGGTCCATAATGGTGGGCCAATCATAGTGCTCTATCTGCTTAATGAACAAATCACAGAGCTTTATCCGCTTTGTGGGCCAATCAGGGCACTCTATATGCCTGGTGGGTGGGATGATGCAACAGAGTGAAACAAGAGTATGTCACATTCATTGTCCAGTGGAATGCGGAGGATGGCTGCTTATACTGAGCCGGGATTCTCTGGAGGTTTCTTCCTGTTAAAAGGGAGTTTTCCTCTCCACTGTCGCTGCATGCTTGCTTAGTATGAGGATTGCTGTATAGTCACTGACACTCGTCAGTGACTTGATGCAATTTGCTGGGTTCCTTATATAGGAAACATTATCTCTGGTTGGCTTAATGAACTGTGAATTGGAATGTTTATTATGTGAAGTGCCTTGAGACGACTCTTGTTGTGATTTGGCGCTATACAAATAAACTTGAATTAAATTGAATTGAATTTGAAATACAACGGTAGAACCCACCCCACAACCGAGAGCCGTCAATGGAGCGTGGCCAGGCTAAATAATATATTTATTTAGTCTGGCTTGCCAGGCTACCAATGACCAGTACAGCCTTTACTTGGTGGGCCAGACTCACCAGTTTCTGGGTCACACTGGTGTTCACAGGGATCCAGTAGGCGCCGTCCACAGAGCTCATTGACCCAAGGTCCGCTGGCGTTCTGCTGGTAGTACAACAAGAGCTGGGCTGGGTTGAGCCAGTCTGAAGCATCCAACTGGCTCCCCTGCAGCAAAATGAACCTTGATCCTGAAAATGATGGAGGAAAGAAAAGTGCAGGGTAGCAGAGCAACACACATGGAGGAGGGAGGGGCGAGAAGAAAGGAGGCATAGTGAAAAAAGGACAAAATGAGAAAAAGTGACATAAGTGGGGAAAAATCTTGCAACAATGATTATGAACCAAAATGAACACAGAACAGCTAAAACACCCTTGTCTAAGTGTCTCAATCTTAAAGAACAAATCCACAGTAGGTATTAGAGCTTGTAACGACATTATAAAGACAGCACCAAACAGAATGAATCGCTCTAAGCTGAGATGGATTTTTGTTGTGAGCAACATTTTTTTCTGAAAATCCATCAAATAAAAAAGTAGCTTTTTCAGTAAAAAAAAAATAAAATACTCTGATGTGACATAAAAAAGGATTTTCTCAATAGAATCAGAACATCACAAACTACAGCAGCTGCTGAAGTGAAAGATTCAAACTGAAAAAAATATTTAATAAACTTAAACCAAATTAAATCTTCCCTATAACATGATTTTGTTTAGCACCAATCTTATGCAGCTGAGCCAGACAGACATTGAAAGTCTAATGGACGTTTTTATGATTTTTGAAGACAATTGCTTTTATGACATTAACACATCTGATTTAGTAAATTTTTGTCTGCCTCCTATTGGTGAAGGAGAGAGCTAACAGGTTAGCAGACAGGATGCATATAAATAAACTGGTTTAGAGTTATTTTGATTGCTGGAGGTTATTAACTCTGAACAAAACTACAGCTATGGTACTATTGTAGTTTTTATTAAGTGTGATATCCACAAAATGCTATTAAATAATAATGGTAAACTTTTCTCCTTATGTGCTGCAGGATTCTATGGTGGATTTAATTTAATCTTCATATAAACACTTAGTCACAGGTAATCTATGTTTCCATAGCTGCTTATTGTCTAGCAGGATGATAATTATCATAATTTAGTCATAATTTAAGTTGTTTCTGTTTGATTTCACTGTAAAGTTTTATCCGAGGAGAGGAGGGAGGTGTTTGCGTACGTGAGTAACACACTAGTGCTGTACTGAAGCCACGTGTGTGTGTGTGTGTGTGTGTGTGTGTGTGTGTTTATCTCTTTGTGCTTCAATCAAACCTTTTAAAAGTTCTATTGTTTGCTCATAAATATTTATTGGTTTACAACCCAGGCTCTGTTGACAAAATGTAGCAAGTAAAATGTAATAATTTTTCATAAATTTTCCTGTTTGTTGCTTCTTATACAAAAGATAAAATAAAGAAATAGAAAAGAAATGCAAGTTTGTGTCTTTGATTGTGAAGGTTCGCCTAACAGTAACAGAATAAGTTTTTGATGTATTATGTAACAAAAGTCTGTTTGCAAACAACAAGATATGAAAAATGCAAAATAGGAAAGTTCTGCGTTCTCCGTGAGCATTAACGAGGTTTTCACTGACTGATTTGACAAAAGGCCAAACCAGTCAGATTTATAAATGAGCACGTTCAAAACCAAATCAGACTAAAACTGTTCTGTGTTGCTGATACTCAGAAGCTTTTTTTTCCACTGAAGGTGTTTTAGACCGCAACATCATATATAACGTTGATAGTGATAATCAATGTGGGGTCTGTACTCGTCCAGAAACCACGCTAGAGTCAGTGGAATCCTCCTCACTTAACAATAAGGGTCCCTTTATTAATGTTACTCATTATTAAGCAGAGTTTTTCCAGGCTCAGACTGAGGCAGAGGTGGTACCATCCTGACCATGCGCCAGCACATGCGTGCTCTGTGTCTTCAACTGCCTCACTTTTTTAAAGGCATAATATTTTGTTGTTAAGTGTTCTAATCTAAGCTTCTGTTGATTAATTGAATATTCCATTTGATGACGTTTCATGTGAAACAAAACTGGTTTGCTGCTAAAAAATATGAAATAAAATTACAAAATTATCAGGCTGAAATAACAGACTCTTATTATAAAAGGCTTAATAATGCCCTAAGTAATGGTAATTAAGAGACCTTTATTGTAAAGTGTTACTGAATCATTTTATCAGAACATAAAGTTTTCTGTTTTTTAGCATTAGCGTCATTGACTCACTAACTGGCAGCATTACCTGATAACGTGAATGGCTTTTAATGTAACGTGTTTTTACAATTACCATATTACAGCAGGAGGGATTCAGTGTGTTTGTTAGTGTGTCCTACAGATCAGGATTTGGCTCTTTCCTCCCTTATTTCTCTTCTGCAGGTGTCTCTGACTTCAGAGTTGTATGCTTCCATTCTGTGGTTGCTGGCATGAACTGTCCGGTGTTTATTGTCCCTTTCAGTCTGCTCTCTCAGTTTTCTTTCCATATGTGCGCTGGTTGAAGCACATGGCCACCCTCCCTGCACATGGCTCTGCTGGTAATTTCTACCTGAATGAAATGCCCAGGTTTCCCAGGTGGCCTAGCATGATGACACTATGATGGTCCTGGACCAGAGTTTGAAGCAGAATCAGGAATAGCATCCCTTTCCATAAATTTAGGGAGCAGGTGCACTCAGCTTAAATCTAAAATGATAACTCCTAACCGCATTTGGACTTGATGCTGCTTCCACGTTAGTCAAAAAAAAGAAGAATTTGCTCCGGCTGGCGGTTCTGAACTGAAAGCATAATTGTCCTGCATGGGCAGCAACACAAACTACTGAGGCAGCGTTGTTTTCTGTGAAGTGAAAGGCGAGGAGAAAGGTGTGACTGTACACTTTCTGTGGCTTTCATCAGTGGAGCTGAAAGGAGACTCATGCACAGCTGTTGGCACTGATAGCATTTCCCCCCCACAGGGGTGGAATCCAAATTTTCATCTGATTCACCGTGACACTAAATCAAACCTGATGAGATTGTGCAGACATTTATAAAAACATGCTAAATCAATCCCAGTGTTGTAATCCAACAGGTAGAATTGCCATCTTTCATCTCCTCTTTCAAAGTTACCTTCTTGGATGCAGCCTCAGAATTTTAATTTCTTTCTGGCAAGCTGGCGTGTACCACCAGAAAGCTGCAGCACACCAAATCAAATCAGACCTCCAGATGATAGATGAGGAGGCCTAGTCACAGTATATAATATATTTGGACTGCCAGCTCACTTCTGGAACAGCTGAAAAATGCCAATGAGCTAGCAGGAGCCAGCTCAGTGGCCACGGTGCCTTTTTCTCTCCTTTTAGGTGCATCTATGAAAATCCTTGGCATTGCATCAGGATGAAAGTGTGGTGTTTTCCTGTCATTAGCCTCGTATCAGAACGTACACATGATGGAGGGTTTTCCGCAGGTGATCACTCAGGCACTCTGGCCTAAATGTGCTGCGATGCTTTGAGAGCACATCTGTTCTGCGGTGTTACGTGGGGAACCCAAGGGGAGGGTGGTCGACCTGGCATTTACCTTTGTCTTTGAGAGGAAAGCAAATCAGCAGCTAACTACAAAATGCAGGTACTTGGTTTGAGAGATATAGTGAGCTGAACTCCCCAGAGAGCGGCTGAAAAATACCAGCTCAGCCCCCCCGGGGTTTTCAACTTCCACAGGAGTGCGTTAGGAAAAGCTGCATCGACAATCTCAGAGCGGAGTAAAGCCTCACCGTCAGCTATGAGGTGCTCCGGCACATGTAAGATTACTCGGACTGAGGGGCTGCAGGAGAGGTGAGATGAGTACACCAGGCCAATCACGCAGCTGATGACACTGATCAGAGTCAGGGTGGTCTTATTGATGGGGCTCCGCGGGGACCCTGCTGCTGGGAGCAAACACAAACAGGGAGGGAGGAAGGTGGGAATGTGAGACACATGTGAAGGAACAGCCGTGCTTTATTTCCATCTCTTTATGTGATAAACACACACTGTCGCACAAACAAATACACAAACTGCCTAGACAGGGAGTCGTTTTATAAACAAGTAAAAAAAAAAAAAAGATTTAACACCAACGAAAACGACCTTTGGATCTAAACTGTCGAGTCGTGGGGACACCAGGCATGGCTCAGTGGCACAGTAGTAAGGCTTACCTTTGAAGGGTCTTACCTTCCAAGCTGGGACGTGTGGGGGGAAAGAACGAGAGAGAGCGGGAAGGGGTGGGTGGGGGGAGGGGGGCACGAGTCTAAATAAATAAATAAAAACAGCTCAGAGATTGTTTCGCAGCCATCCCTCTTTCCTGTGCTCTCCTCTGTCAGAGCAAAAAAATGCTGCTCTTATCTCTTTTACTCCAGAGCGAAACACAGAAAGTGGTAAACATGACCTCATACCCACAGGGGCCAGCGTGCGCACACACACACACACACACACACACACACACACACACACACACACACACATACACACACACACACACACACACACACACACACACACACACACACACACGATGACCTTGAATATAAATACTTTGTTTACAGTGGTTACATTTACACAAGGCGAATAATTCCAGAATGCATTGTCACTTTTAAATAACTTTTGTCTCCTTTTAAAAGCCACCCAAGGCTATCCTTTAAACAAAAGCCAAATAGAACGCTGACCTTTTGTTTTGTGCTTAAAGCGAGTTTATTTAATCAAACTTAACAGGGAGAAAGAAAAACAGGATGTGGGCATCATTTCACCTTTCTGACCTCTCTTTTCTGGCTTTCTTCCCAATGTTTAATGTAGAGTTCAGATTTTTCATTATATTACCCAGAGAGCTGATTTGGTTAATTTAAAAAAAACATACCAGAGAAAAAACAATAAAATAATACTCAAATGTTCTTCTCTAATCTTTACATTAAAAAAAAAACAAGCAGCGATTTTTCTCTCTGGATGTAAACAACATAGTTGGACCACCTTGCTCTTTTCTGAAACCAGCCTCTAATTAAAGGTTTTACTTTCGGAGGCGTTGCCATATTTGTGACACCTGTACATACGACAGGAGAATAATTGGCTCGGAAGCTTTGTTAAGGCTTGTAACACTTTCTGACAGCAACTACTATTTTGAGGGAATTGTTTATTTTTCCCTTCTCAGTCTCTCTTCCACAACCCATTACTGTACATCAAAGCGGCGATGACACGGCATGCTGACAGATAAAGCGTGCTCCACCACTTCACTTTGACAGCATTTTGCACTGGATCCTCCTCAGAAATAATATTTGTCCTGAATATTATTTCAAGCTAAAGTATGGGGCCGTTAAAACTGGGAGATGCATTTGTTTTAATCCCACGTGGGCCCTGATCTCATCATCTTGTCAAATTCACTGAACAAGATTGTATGCAGATGTGCTGAGATCAGTTCTGCATGCTCACAACCACTCTGGACACAACGAGAGCGCAGACATGTACGCGTTTCCTCCAGGAGGGAAACTCATGGGCACACACAAAAACAGAACCATCCATCTGCTATATGTGCTGAGGTTACTTGTCATGCCTCATTGCAACAGTAATACTGTCGGGTGGGATAGATTGTTTGTAGGTGTATGAGTCCTCCTTACCCCCAGAGCCCCACGCGCTGTTGGCGTTACCATTTCTCATACCTCGACTCCGGCGCCGACTGCGGTTCGGGTCGGTGTAAAAGGCCAGCTGAGGCTCGCTGTCTGCCTCCGTCCCAGAGTCCCCGTCTGGGTTCAAGAAAGTTGAACCCGCTGTTGGATTCACACAAAAATACACCTTCAATGACGAAGGAAAAAAGGAAAAGATGGACCAGTGGTGGAGGCGTATTCCTTCTGTTCCCTTTTCGTGTAAAGGTTTTATCTGTTTCATCCATTTGCATCCTGTCCTGACTCCTGCTTCACCTTGAGCTGATTAATTTTACGAGTCGCTTAAAGACTCATTTTAATCGTCTGGCTTTCACCTAATCTGTTTGGTAACTGTTTTAACTGATTTTAATAGTTTTTATTTTTGTTTGCTATTAATGATATCTGTTTCTTTTTTATCCTAGTTTTATTGGTGTCTCGTTTCTATGTATTATTTGTGCTGTGTTCAGCGCTTTGGGTCCTCCTTGAGGATGATGGAATGCCCTATACAAATAAAAGTTGATTGATTGATTGATTGATTGATTTAATCCACAACGTCTTAAATGCTGATAATTTAAATAAATTACAGCATTTTTGTAAAGCAACAAAAAAGGATCAATTACCAAATCAAAGAGCAATTAAATTCCAAAGAGCTAATTTCATGCATGTAGGTTTCTATAAGTTTTAATCAAACAGAATAGAAAAAAACAGATTTTTAAAGAAGTCATCTAGAATTTTCCCGTTTTCGGGAAACTTTAGGATTTATGAAAGGAAACTTAGCGGAAAAATGTGCGCAACTTTAAGTTGACTAAGGACCTGGCTTACGCACATGTTGGACATGGAGAGCACCTGCAGTGCTGCTGCTGAGAAGGATACAATTATGAAATCCTGCAGCATTATCACTTGTACTGCTTCGTTTTCACACAGAACAAGACCCCCCCCACATGCACACACATACGTGTGCACACACAGAGACATGCGTGCGTGCATGCACACACACACTCACACATGCACGCACACACTCACACACACACACACACGCACACACAGCCTGAACCGCAGAATACGGAATGCAGAATATCAGTAGGGGGACAGATTGAGACAGAATGTCATGTGTCTGTGACAGTGTGTGTCCTGTCACTGTGACCCAATTGATCATGCACCCTGGCTACTTGGACAAGGGAGATCTCTTTTTGGGTGACTGGTTAGCGTGCGCGACTTTCACCTGGGAATCTGGGGATCAAATCCCGATTGAACCATTTTTTTATATCCGCCACAGATCTCTCTGAAGAATTCACAACATTGACGGCTTCAGCAATGCTGTGCCACTCCGTGGATTTTCTCTTATTTGTTTTGCAAAAGCACTTCCTTTCATTTCCCCACCTCATCCACAGGTACCTCAACTTCTGGTTGTGAAATTGTGCTTCCTTGATCTGCGTTCGTGATCAAAATGCTGCAACAAGCCGGCTTATGTATATGCATGAGATCCACAAGGCAATTTGCATTGACCATTTATGGCAGAAAGTGGGCGTGGTGAGGGCGGGATGTGACTAAAAAGCAGCTGAGAACCTTTCTCATTAGTCTCTGATTTATGAAGCGGAGATTGCGTGCAGCTGTGCGTACTCCATGTTTGCTAGATCACAAACCTACTTGGCGTAAGTACATTTTTTTTGCTGAGCCTAAGTACGATTTTAGTAAGGATTCTACGCAATGTTTGATAAATGAGACCCCTGCTGAGGCTGCAATGTAGTGTGGCTACACTGATCTGCAGAACAACAGTTTGTCTAAATTTCCAGGCTAAAATTATGAAATATTTTTTGAAATATGTAAAAATTATTGTCTTACCCGGTACTGTGATATAATGTGGCCACAAGTCAATTTGATTTATTTTTTCTGCCATAGAGACCTATGCAATTTCAATTGAGTGCCACTTTGCATTAGCCAATAGCAATAGACATATGTGTGCATTCACAGAAGTAGCTAGAATGACAAAGACTTGGTAACACTTCTTATGGATAAGTAACTTAAAAAAACATATATATCTATGAATATATAAAACAATTGTTAAACACTGTATTTCAGCTCTGTTGCACAGCTAGAGGTGTGCATTCATGAACAAGGGGTGGTGCTTCCAGGCATAATCAGAAGTAGGGAGAAGGGCTTGAATTGCAATTAATAATGCCCACCTATAGATGGTGCCCTCTGACACAAATATATATATATATATATATATATATATATATATATATATATATATATATATATATCCAGTTTTCTGTGTTTACAATGCCAATAAGAAACCCAATACCATCTGGAAGGTGAGCCAATTTGTTTCAAATCTTTGGAAATATGAGTACACAAGAAATTTACATTCCCATCTTTTACTGAATAATTATGTCAGGTAAAACCTTAGTGACCGTGTTTCACCATTATTTATTTACTTTTTGCTTTTGCATTAATCAACTCGGTCACTCCACATCAATCTGTGGTGTTAAGGATGACATGGATATGATGTTTGTGACATCTTGAGTCTGAAAGTTCCTTTCTGCTTTCTGTTCGGCTGTGAGAACTGAAATTCATTCTCTGTAAACAGCATTAAGCACCAATTTTAATTATATTGTACATATTTAGATGGGGAATGAATACGGTATTTAAAATGGGCCGTAAAATGATGTGCAAGAAACATACAAAAAAAGATACTGAAGAGTTAAGAGAAACAAATCACATCAATCCTGTTTTCTGTAAATCTATTTTTTTTTTTTTTTGGTGCCGAAATTACATTTTTCCTGAGTGTGTTTTAAATGAGGACTTAGTTATATTAAATTTAAAGACTTTGGTCTTTGGTCACTCGTTTTTTCAATACATTCACTTTCTCGTATAAATGAATGCATTGTGAGTTGATCTCTGTAAGAAAAAAGTTCACTCCTGTTTCAAGAACTAGGACTCAAAGGAGAGGTGAGCTGCAGACAGCAGTGTTATCATTCGAACATCTTACATCTGATTGGCTGGCAACAAGGCTGTTTGCTCTGCAACATGGATGTTTTGTCGCCACAGAGTTGCTATTGCTAACAGTTAGCTTCTTCTAGCTGAGACGCACTCTGCTTTTTCCTGGACGCTAAAACAACAGCCTTTCCTGTCACAATCCAAGACTGATGAGTCCATTCCCAGGGGTAGAAGACTATTTTCATATTTAGCCTGCATGCTAAACTCAGACTAACTGATTATATTTAAAAACATAAGTAAATGCGGTGTTGGTTTCTTACTGAACGTGTGCACTAAAGCTTGTTTACAAGTGTTAGCCGTCTGTAACTCACAAAGTAAGAGGACAAATCCACTAAAGCAGCTGTTCTGTCTCAGAGGGATATATGCAATCTAAAAATAAATAAATAAATGAATAAAAAAGACAACAGTGCTCTGTGACATGAGCCTTAAAATCCTAACCAAGAGGCAGCATTTGATTAAACTGGAGACGGGTCCTCAAATACAATGGGGGAGGAAATGGTTGGCAGCAATGTCAATGTGGCAAAGTGAAGAAGACTTTTTTCATGGCAGCAGCTTCATCAGCTTTTCATGTTGTTGTTTCAGAACAATATGCACTGGAGATATGAATGTGTTGCATAAACATTACTGGCAACCATGACTATCTACCAGCACAGATGTTAGCGTAGCTTCACTTCAAAAGTAGAAAGCCTTTTTTTGATGACACTATGGTTTCAGAAACATTTTTTTATGCTGATTTAATAATCAAGCAATACTTTGTGTGTATTTTCAATTCAGATGCATTTGCAAGCAGAAAACACAATCTCTTCTTATACATTATTTATATTGTATAACTCTGTAGTGAGAAAAAGATATTTATGTACCTCATTTGGGAGGAAGGAGGTTTACGAACACAGCTTCCCAATAACTAGAACCCCACAATACCTACATAGATCATGAATGTGTAGCTCAGCTCTAAAACTATCTCCCATCCAAACAATCAATTAAAATGTTAATGCTTCAGACATTGCACCCAACAGCTTTACCAGAACAATGAATCCAGTAGAAACATTTATTGAACACCATAGTGCTGTAAATGGTCGCTTCTAAAAGCTAACAATGTGCAAAAGGATAGGTTTCTCAAATTATTTTCTAATCAGAAATTTCTAGAAAGCAAACAAGCTACCAAGAAAAAATTTGGTGGAGAAAGTTGTAATGATAAAAAAAGGTGTGATTTATAATGCCTTATGGGTTGCAGGACTCTAGAAGGCAACATATGCAATACAGGCTTTTTCCCGTAACTTAGACAGAGCTCTTATCATAAGTTTTGATTTATTGTTATAATCAATGTAAGTAACAGTTTAAATAAAGGTGCTATGATCCATGAGTTTATTATTTTTTATTTTATTTTTATTTCTGACTTTCATTGGTTAAATTTCATAGAATTTTCATTTATATATTTTTGTCAGATTCAAGTTATTTCTGTGACCATTGTAAGTTTTGAACTAGGGTACCAACTATTTTGTCCATGTTTTTATTAACTGTGTCCGAGATAAAGTCTTATTCCACAGTAGCATCATTACTCCTTATTGAAACAATAAACCATGCAGTAAAGAAATACATGATTTATCTGTTCTGCAGACAAGTTTGATATGAGAGAAAAAACATAACAGGAATATCAGACTTTTTCAGCAAACTAAGACCTCCTGGGTGATGGCTCAATGTCATACAACTAGATCTGTTGTTTATTGTGTCCAGAGACGCCTCCAGGAAATTTTGATGGGGTGGCCAGATGGGCCAAAGAAATTTTTGGGGTGGCACACTAAATCGGTCCTTGTGGTAACTCTGGGAGAGTTTACCCTGTGGCGATTTTATTAAAAACAAACAAACAAACAAACAAAAAAACACTACTTATCCAAAACATTTAACTTAAAATTTACAAACACAAACATTTCAGAAAAAAAAAACATTTCAGTTATTTAAAATGTTATAAAATTTTATTTAAAAATTATTTTTTTGTTTTAGTTTAATTCACTTGTTGCTGTGTTCACAAAAAACTATGGATATAAAAACTTGTTTTAATGGTGAGCAGCAGAAACATGCATTTTTATTCTGATAATTCCTTTACTCATGAATGGTATTAGTTTTAT